AAATGAAGGAGCAGGTCTCTTTTGAAAATAGGATGGATGAAGAGCCAGCAGGCTAAGGATTTTCTTGTCTGTTAACTGGACCAAATATCACTCTCAATTTCTGTCCTGGACTGTGAAGTGACTGTGATAGCGAAGTCACAATGTCAGGTTTTGCATACATAGGATAGATGAAGGTTGTGAATGAGGGAACTTCGAAGTGCATCACGCTTCAGAAGCAATTCCAAAACCATCTTGCAATTTTGTTGCAAGTGGCAGTGACTGGCCAGACTTAAGTCATAGAATCATAGACTCATAGAATGGCCTAGGCTGGAAGGGACCTTAGAGATCATTTAATCCAACCTCCCTGTCATGGGCAGGGACGCCTCTCAACTAGATCAGGTCCTGAGGATTTTTCTTATGGTTTTGGGCTGTTTGATCATGTTTGGTCTACGTCTTTTTTTTTTTCTGTAAATTGCTCACAACCCACGCTTCTGCTCCCTCTTTGTCCCAGGGGTAATGGTCACCAAGACTGTCCTTCTCTGGCGATATCTGTGGCAGTTTTGTTACTGATTTGAATGAGAAGTGCCTGTAATATTTTCTTTACTAGACGAAAGTGTCTCATAACAATTTAAGAAGATTGGGATTTTTTTAAGGTGACTGTCACCACCTAGAGTCTTAATAGTTTATTTGTTTTGGAAAGGAAGAGGTGTGCTAATGCTCACAAAAACTTACAGATTGACTTCTGGATGTGATAACATAATATTTCTTTCTCTGAAGACAACTCCTTAAGTGGTTTAAGTAACTCGGTTTTATTACTTTCTCATGTGCAGTAACACTTGGTGAAAATCATTTGCTTTTGTTCTCCCATAAGCTGATCATGTTACTCACAATAAATTGATCTGGATTTTTCTGCCTTTACTGTAGTTACTAGTTTTAAGATGAGGGAAGGCCAGATACTAATTTTGGACTCCAAATGTATTTCCTCTTACCTTAGTTGAGGAAGTGTGCTTCTCCCTGCCTCCCCACCCAGTTCAGACCTACTCTTAAAGGTGTAATCTTTTGCATGTGGCCTCTCTGGAGATGTAGGGATGTAGGAGGGATAGTAGCGGAAGTAGCTACTTTGGGTTTGATTTGTGTTCTTTCACTTCTTTCTGTTTAGTAATAAAATTGTTGTAATTCATAGCTGTGCCTTTGGGAATACTGTGATTAAAGAGGTCAAAAAACCTCCAAACAGCCAAAGAGCACCTTGTGATTAAAATAAATGGCAGGTGGATGTCCAAAGTGGAAATAGAGAAAGAAATTATGCATTGCTGAAGCTTAAAGAGAATTACAACATCTCCACACTTGGCTACAGCTTCAAATGCCCTTTTCGCCTATTCAGAGAAAACATCATTACATGCCAAAGGGGGAGACCTCATGGTCAGTGTTCTGTTCAGCATAAAACAGTGTTGCAAATAAATCAATTCCCGTGAATGCTGCTTAAAAAAGCCCTCCAGGGTGGTCGCAGACTGAGCTGGGTGCAAGGGCCCATACCTGCTGTGCTTGTGCAGTTCACGTGCTATTTTGGGAAGGCAGGGGGCCGTTCTGGTGGCTGTAGAGGCACTTGAGGGGGCTGACACATCCAGGGGCTGGCAAGGCAGGGGTGTACGGGCTGCTGTGTTTGGGGGCTGCTCCCCACCAGAGTGGGAGAGAGACTTCAGGGGTTCCCCCAGGTGGAAGGGCTCCCCCGGGCCCCAAGGTGTTTTGCTGTGAGAAGAAGAAAAAGGAAGAAAAGAACTTTTATTGGTGTAGTTGCTGGCAATCAGAGGAGCAGCAAGAACGACTCTGTTTGATGGATGCTACGCATGGCTGGGGGGACTCTGCCGACCCTGGGAAGGGAAAGCAGCACCAGCTCACCTGGCATAGGTGAGCCCAGACCAGCAGCAGCCTCAACAGTGTGGCCACATGCCTTGGTGAAGAATTTGTGAGAGTGGAGTTTGCAGTCAGGTGAGCAACCGAGGCATTGGGGGCAAAAGTAGCATTCGGATCTCTGGCATGGTGGTGCTGCTGCTGGGGACGCAAAGGGAAGGGGCATCCTGAGCCAAGAGCAACCAGTCAGAAAGGAGCAGCTTCTCTTGGCAACAGTGATATGGCTGGTGGTATTACCTAATTATACCTCTGCAAAGCTCTAAATACAAGAAATGTTTTATTTTTAAGTTATTAAGTTGGTGATTAGTCCTGCGAGCATTAAATGTTATCCCAGATTTTATTGCCCTTTAAAGCTACTATTCCTTATGCTGTGTCCGATTGTAGGCTTTTACAGAAATGTTGTCTTCATGCTCATTTATCTGTTTTTTTTTGTCACTAATTCCATTCTAATAACCTGTAATTGAGGTTTTACTGCTTAATAGCTCAAATGAGCGTAAACTAATCATGGAGTATTTACTAATTTTCTGTTTTACTTTAGCTCTTGGAAAGCTCTGCCACTCCTTGGTGTGTTTTCAGTGCTGCCAGAAGCATGTCTGGACTGCATGGCAGGCAGTGTTGCAGGGGGATGACTCTCTTGCCCAGTGTGACCTGTCCCAGTGGAGATGCTCTCTGTCCCCATGAGTTACGAAGGGCTCATTTACCTGGAAGCTGTGCTAAACAAACATGGTTGCTCCAGAGCTCTTATGGCAATCAATTTTTCCCTTGTAGAGAGGGGAGCCCACGCAGTAAACCTGTTGCTAAAAGCATTCATGCCTGTATCTGTCCTCCTTTAAATGTTGTGGGTTTTTAGTGCTTTTTTTGTTTTTCATCCAGCAGAACCAGGTGTTGGTAATGATTATTGCTCCTGGGAGTGGTGGCAATGCTCAAGTTTCCTGAGTTTATAGGTCCCAAACCGGTGATTCACTTCATAGAAACTTTCTGTCTATGTTGTTTGCCCTCTTTGTGTGAAAGAATTCATTTCTATATATTTAAACATCAGTTTTGCTGGCAGAAAAGTAGGTTGTTTGTCTTCCCTGTGGTCTTGTTGAGACCGGTGTGGCTGCTGGCGTGTCTGAAGTGGGCAGAAAAGAACCATCTGTCCATAGCACATCCCTCTTTCCCATTTCACCCTGTTTCTAGATGCTCCTGTGAGCTCCGTGGCTCTCCGGAAATCCGGTGATTACGTCATCACCCTGGGAACCAGGTTTGCTGCTTTGAAATGGAAAGAGGAGCTGGTAACCACCCTGACTCACGTGGACAAGGACAAACCCAACAACCGATTCAATGATGGGAAAGTGGATCCCGCAGGGAGGTATTTTGCAGGTATGCTGCAGGCGGTTCCTTCCTTCTGCTCCTCCCTTAGGTTTTGGTGACAAGGCGTGGGGAGCCCGAGTGTTTTTTTTTAAAAAGAGGCCAACTATGCAGAGCCTGTCTAGTTTGCGACACTGGCCTTGCTGCTGGCATGCTTGCTTTGTGTGCTGGCAGAGTGCCAATAGGAAATACTTTCCCAGTGGGAAATTTATGATACTATGGCTTTTGTTCTTCACAAATCAGAATTTATAGGTGGTATTTTTAAAAACTATAAGACTGTTCGTCCAGAAGATGAGAAGGGTCAGGGAAATCTTATCTGCCTAAGTTCCTGATGGAAGGGAGTACAGAAGATGGAGCCAGGCTCTGCTCGGTGGCACCCAGGGATGGGGCCAGAGGCAATGGGCACAAACTGGAATTCAGGAAACACGATTTAAATGTAAGAAAATTCTTTCGGCAAGGATCGTCAAACAGGTTGTCCAGAGAGACTGCGGAGTCTCCATCCATGCAGATCTTCAAGACGCAATGCTTCCTTGCAGTGGCTGACTGGGCCTGGATCATCTCCAGAAGTGTCCTTCAGCCTCAGCCATCCCATGATCCCGTCCTCCTGGTTTTTACATTGCCATTCTGTGTATCTGCCTTGCGGTTTGTTCCTCGGGCTTACCTTAACTTGCTTTTACCTGGCCTCTCAAAGAGCCAATCTCAGCTGCCAACTTTGAGCCACACTGATGAGATTTTCTTTTGAAAAGGCTTTAATAGGACTCATTCTGAGGGAGGAGGAAATATTTTTCCTGTCTCTCTGCTATACAAGACGTTAAGATTTGTGGGAAGTTAAATGCTGACCATGCCTCTCTTAATATTGCAATGACCGACTAAAACATTTAGCAGAGATTGGGCAGCACACCGTTTCTGCCACAGTTCAACCAAAAAACCCCAAAGGCTGTGTTTTGTCATCTTCTAAAAGCAGGCACTTTTGAAACCTACCTTTCTCTTTTGCTTTTAACTGTTACCTCCCTGAATTTCTTGAGCAGCCCCCACACTGCTCCCATCTGGGGGTGGAGTCGTCATCATAGCGAGGGGCGGCTGCCAAACCTGGGGGAGAGCCCGTTCATCCCGAACCTGCTTTCCCCACTTTGTCTCTGCACAGGTACGATGGCTGAGGAGATTCGACCTGCCGTGCTGGAAAGGCACCAGGGTGCTCTGTACACGCTCAGTAGTGAAGCACTTTGATCAGGTGGACATTTCTAATGGGCTGGACTGGTCGCTGGATCACAAAACCTTCTATTACATTGACAGCTTGTCCTACTCGGTGGATGCCTTCGATTACGACGTCCAAACTGGAAAAATTGGTACGAATCGTGTATTCCCGGATAAGCGTGTGTGCCTAGAGAGCGTGGTGTTTGTTTCCATTCTGGTTATTAGGCAGAGGGGATCAATCAGAGCTTTGGGAGTGCTTCTTCAGAAACCTCTTTAGAACAAAGCAACAGAAGGCGTATTAACATCCATCTCTACCTGTGCAGACTGCTAGCTCAGGCTGGTTGTGGGGCTGTTGGTAATGTTGTAAAGTGTTTAAATTGTGTGGCAGAGTTTGAGGGGTAGCTTGGACTACGGTTACGAAACACAACACGTACCTGATCTTCCCATGTATAAAAGGGCAAAATGTTTCTTCTATGGTGAGGTTTCTGTGGCTGCATGTTTCTTAGTACTGACAGCGTAGGCAAAGTGACAGAGAGCTTGTAGTATTGAGCAAAACCTCTCCTAGCTTCTCTAGATGTTTTTTTACCCTATTTGGGTTTTTTGTTTGGGTTTTGTTTTTTTTTAATTGTAAGCTCTTAAATAAAGATTCTGCAGATGGAGTTAAGCAACAACTGGAGAGCAGTAACTCAAACTTCTTCCTTCATTTATTTAAAACAAAACAACCCCTTAAGGGCTTCTACAAGCCTGGGCAAAAGAAAAATTCCAGTGACTTGGACTAATAATTTGCTTTTGCATATGTGGACTGCAGTATTTTGCTTTAAAAGAACCCAGTCAATTTGATATTTATTTTAAAATCTGTGAATGTTAAGCAATTTTAGGTGTAGTGTCTCGTCTCGATATCTCCCTGCTATGGCTCACAACTGAATTTTTCTTTAGGAGACAGGGTGATTCTCCTCTCTCCCTCACCCGCACTCTCTCTCTTTCTGTGGGCAATCTGACAATCCCCAGGAGCACAAAGGAAACTCATTAAAAATATTGCTACACATGAGAAACATTGAAGTTGTCAGAGCATAAAATAAACAATGTTGGAAAGTTGGTTTTCATTTTCCTTAATAACAGTGGATAAAAGTTCAGATAGAGTTGTTTGGTTTTAGGTTGACAGTATGCCTTTGAAGTTGATGCTTTTACTAACTCTGTGTTTATATAAACTCTCAGTTTATGTATCTGAAGGTCAGTTTTGTGTTGGAACGGTGATTATTGGCACGTTCCAGCAATCTGTTTGAAAAGTCTCCAGTTCTCTGACTGGAAGCGACCCATATTTGAAATGATCTAAACTGCCTTTAGAACAAGTAGTTAGTTTTCTGAATATATAGAATATTAATTAATTCAGTTGTTTGTTTAGTATTTTAAGTAAGGAGCATGAGTGGCGCGCTAGAAAATAGACCAGAGAAAAAGATTATATTTTCAGTGGATACAAACTGATCCACAGGCTTTCATGCTGAGGAGGAGCTGTCTCAGGAAACAAACAGGGCAGCAGACACAACTTTCTACTTTCATACGAAAAATCTCAGGACTTAGACACAGATAGTACAAGTAACTTTGCTGAACTGTGATTGATAAAAATTCGAACAACAGTCTCACTCTGTTTTGTTGTGGTTTTTCTACCCTGCAGGCAACCGTAGGAACGTATACAAACTAGAAAAAGAGGAGAACATTCCTGATGGGATGTGCATTGATACAGAAGGGAAACTCTGGGTAGCTTGTTACAATGGTGGGAGAGTGATTCGTCTTGACCCTGAGACAGGTAAGTCCTTGCAGAGGGTTGACTGGAAATCTTTGGTTTAAAAAAAAAAAAAAAAAAGAAAGAAAAGCAAAGAATGAGGGATGTTTTTTTCCCCTCACAAAACTGGTATGTCTGTTCTTTTTAAAACAGTACTTTATTTTTTTTATTTTAAAAACAATTATATGCCCCTGCTCTCCAAAGTTAGCTTTGTAAATGTCTCCGTTGTTCCTAGCCTCTGTTGTGTTGGAAAAGGTAAAATTGCTGAGATTACCACTGTTATACTTGTGAATTGTTTGAGTTAGCATCCTTTTGCATCCTCCAAACTTCAGATCAGCGTTTACCTCATTGCTAAATGATGCGGAAGAAAATGAATAAGCCATGAAATAGCAAAGATGACTTAAGCCATTTTTTTGTCTTGTTTCTTCAGCATAATGTATTATTTTGGGCAGCCTACCGAGGTTGATACAAATCCAAAATGACTCTGATGCCAGCAGCATTTTTTTTTATTGTTGAAAACTATTTACATGGTAGATTTTGCAATTGAAATAATAAAAGATATTTAATGAATTCTACAGCTTTTTATCATTCCCACAGTAACATCTTGGGTGTGCTCTTTGTCCAAGCCTGTCGTTCCTTGCTGCTCCAATTTGGATTTTGGTGGTCTGCCAGGCATGATTTAGTCTGGGTACTCTGTAGTCTGGAGCCTCTTACTTAAGGCTCAGGCTGTGTTTTCCCCCCTCATCTTTTCATTTGTACCCATCCAAGGTCTTGCCAGCCTGTCAGCCTTCCTCCTGTCCTGTAGAGGCTGCACTCCAACCCTAGGAGGAGAAAGCTCCAGGCAGGAGATGCCAGCAGCTCTGGGACCCATTTCTGGTCCCGCAGCCTCTGCCACTGGTGGGCAGAGCACCCCCTGGTGACCTCTGCCGACCCTTCTGGAGCAGTGGGCTCGACCATTTTTCCTCTCTGGTTTACTGTTTCTACTAGCTTTTTCCTCCTTGACCTTCACCTTCTTCCTTTTTTCACTTGTTTCCCCTTTCCTCCTCCCTCTTGGAGGTGTTTTGTTAAGAGAAAGCTAAACAGAGTTGGTGTCCGTAAGCAGATGCACAGGGAGACTAAAAACATTGGTGGCAGACTACATATCCCTAATGCACTCCCAGTCCCTAACTGGACCCTTTCAGAGCTGGATGTAATTTCAGTATACTGGTGGTTGCTGGTGGATTTCTCTTCCATCAGCCTGTTGCGTTCTCCCTCTACCACGTAAAGCTCCCAGCACCCGCAGCGAATGGTAGCAAGAAGTTGCGCAGATTAAGTGCCCATGTCAAAAAGAGCCACCTCCTTTGTATCTCGTGTTCATCTGCCCTATCCACACTAACATTTTAAAGTAATTTCTGAAATCTGCAATTTGCTGAATTCTGAGTGGATTGTAACTAATTTGGGAGATAAACCAGGCTTGACTGCATGACAGCTTCTCTTTTAATGCACAATAGCTAATAAGTGTGGCTTTAATAACAGCCAGCCAGTTGCAGGCACATCCACTGAGAAACAGCTCGTCTAAAGCACGTGAGGGATTTTCAGGTTTCACTGATAGCAAAGCCTGGACTGCTTTTTCAGGGGGAAAGGTGAGGAAATTTATTTGTTTGGCGTCTTTTCTAAGTGAAGGTTTTTGAGGATCAGGGTGAAGCAGCTTTTCAGGCCTCAGCTTCTTTTTCTGCTGCCTTTGGATTCAGGGTGTGCTACAGGGCAAGGCTGTGAGGAACAAGCCCACTGGGTTTGCAAAGGGCTCAAAACAGATGTCTACCTAACCTGTACATTGCCAGCTCTTGTCATACCTTCCAGCCACTTAGTGACCTGCTAGTTTTGTGCAGTCCTGTCTTTTAATTGGGAATTACATATTTTACAGTTCTTCCTAATGAATGTATTTTTATATCCTTTGATTATGCAGAGTCTAAAAGATTCGGCTCAGTTTCTCTCTTCTGTAGATACCAAGCAGAGATACATGCTTCTGGTAGATTTTATGGCATGCACGTGCTGATTTTCTTGAATTTCCAGGAAGATACTGAGTGTCTCAAAGCTTTGTAAGCAATATCTTCCAGCCTGTTATCTGCTGAGACCGCTCTGCAAGTACAGTCTGAGTGTTTCCCCTTGTCTTTAGGGCTCCTGCCTCTTCTACAGAGCATGGGGTTTTTTTCCCTTTAAAGCTCTTACCACTCATTTTCTCACAGACTTGGTGTCAGCTGATTTCTAGGGTGGTCTGTCGAGATTTTATAAGCCACCATGTAACCCGTGTAGCTATGTAATCCCTCCACTGCCAGCTGACTGGATAACCACAAAATGTTGCTAGAGGAAGGTGGCAGCAGTGTTGTCTTGGGACTCATACTGGTCCTCATCACTAACAGACAGGTCATCTTCACTCTCAGTTTTCTAGATATTTTCAAAAAAATATGCTCTTCTCAGGGAAAAAGCAGTTAACCAGACATGTAAATAATGTCTGATAATCTAAACACTGTTACACTGATTTTGATCTTTATTCTTTTTACTTTGAATCTGACTTTTACTTTGGCTATTTTGAGTTAGAATGTGTGCCAATTAAGCTTGTTATACAGCATTAGGAAATCCAGAGTCCTCAAACTTTCCAGGCTTTTACATACAAGAGGCTCTTTCAGCACTGCTCACTTGCTTATTGTCTTTTATTTATTTTGGGATTACAAGAGAGATTAGAAGTATCCAGCCCTGGTGTCATGATTGTCAGTGAAGCAAAGAGATTCCACTCATCCCTCTCAATCCTGTGTTCTGGATGTGCTGGTGACATCCATACTTGTAGGTAAAATGGATCAGGCAACGTCCTTCAGTCCTGCACATCATAGTATCATAGAATCACAGATTGTCAGGGGATGGAGGAAACCCCAAAAGATCATCTAGTCCAGCCCCCCTGCCAGAGCAGGATCACCTACAGTAGGTCACACAGGAACACGTCCAGGCGGGTTTTGAATGTCTCCAGAGAAGGAGACTCCACAACCTCCCTGGGCAGCCTGTGCCAGGGCTCTGTCACCCTCACAGTGAAAAAGTTTTTCCTAATATTTTTGTGGAACCTCCTATGCTCCAGCTTGTACCCATTGCCCCTTGTCCTGTCATTGGACGTCACTGAGAAGAGCCTGGCTCCGTCCTCCTGACACTCCCCCTTGACGTATTTCTAAACATGAATGAGGTCACCCCTCAGCCTCCTCTTCTCCAAGCTGAAGAGACCCAGCTCCTCATATGGGAGATGTTCCACTCCCTTCAGTATCTTTGTGGCACATCATAGCTTATTTTGCAGAGCCAGGTGTGTCTTCCCGCACCAAAACAGAGCCCAAACTGTCTCTGGGGAGCAACATACCCAACTAGGTGGGCTAAAATCATGCCAGGGCTGTACCAGCGGCAAAATGATGGGACACAGCTTTGAACCATGCTTATTCTTGGTGGTGTGGTACAGGCTGAGGCATTTGGTCTGTATTTCTTTTGGCTCATCATCCTTGGGAGGGACCAAGGCACAGCTTCTTGGCTGGGGCAAAGGGTTTTAAGGATGGGTGCTCGCTTTGATAAACACCTCCTGGGAAATGGTGCCCCAGCTCCGAAGTTGACCAAAAAGCTCGTAGGTGTTACGCGGGCCAAACTTTCTGCTTTTTATTCCTCATTGTAGGGTTCTCAATGTTAAAGTTCTCTCATGTTCTCTGTTACATATAAGGAGATTCGTGTGCTTTAGCTTATTTCTATAAAGAGAAATTAAATTGTAGGTAAATAAAATAGGCACGATGGGTAGAATCACTTATTGCCCAGAATTAGGATCTGGTGTAAAAAATCTGCTGTAAGGTGTCTCGAAAGCCTGTTGGTTCAGGCTGCAGGCAATTTGCTTACTGCTGTCTTTAGGACGTCAGCTATTTGTTGGTATAATAAACGCGTAATATTATTTACGGTAACGCAAGTTCCTTGTAAACTTCAGACATGTCTTGTGATCCCTGTTTTATGCAGGCCTGATTTGAAAGGCTATTGAAATTTCAGGAAAAACTTCTAGGAATGAATCTTCCTTGACTGCAGGCAGTAGAGGTGTAGCACAAGGTGCGCCTCAGTCGAGCTGTACGAGGTCTGCTCCCCCCGGGCTTCCTTTGTAGTTAAAAGTGGAAAAGTCAGCAGGTCCAGGGCATGATTCATGTGACCTGTTTTAGGGAGGAATTATATCCCATTTCCATTGATGATGAGCTCAGATACAGATGTCTGCGCCGTGGATGTTAGCATTTAGTTAGAGGACAGGCTGGGGTTGGGGGTGGGATTTTGTTTGTGATAACTGAGACTGAAACCTGTCAAATGATTCACTGTCAGCAACGTGGGTTACAGAAAGTCTGGTTTCTCCCTGTCTCAGTGCTCATCAGCACGCTGAAACTCAGCACGGGGCCTCCCCCCACCCCGGTACCGGCTTCTGCAGAACACACAGAATCACAGAATCACAGAAACACCTGGCTCAGGGCCGGTTATTCACAAAAATTTGCTTAAATTTCTTGTCGAAAGTAGATGAACAGGAAACGGCATGTGTGTTTTTCCCCAGGAAAAAGACTTCAGACTGTGAAACTTCCTGTTGACAAGACAACTTCCTGCTGCTTCGGAGGAAAGGATTATTCAGAAATGTATGTGACTTCTGCCAGCGACGGGATGGATGAAGAGTGGCTTTCACGGCAGCCGCAGGCTGGCGGGATTTTCAAGGTGAATGATACTTTTTACTCTCATTTTAGTAGGCCGTGTTTTCCCTCCTGCAATTTTCAGGCAGCAAACCAGTTTGAGTGGTGGGAGGCAGGAAAAGAGCGATTGTTAGAACATCAGTGATACATGTTAAGGTATTTGTATTTTGGTTCCTGTTGCAGGCTGAGAAGGTGAAATGTATTTAGAGATTCAACCTTTGGGGTTTAAAATTTGTAACAATGACGGTACTGCAAATTTTCTATGCCATCACCTCTTTCTGCTTCTCCCCCTCTCAACATGGTTTGAGTTTTCTACTTATTATGGAAAGACTGCGTAAATACTTCAGTGTTTTAATTAATGACAGATAAAAGCATCTGCTTTTATTTACTTTCTAGATAGTTATAACTAAATTATCTCTTTAAAAATTTATCACCTTAGAATTTGTTGTAAAGCCTTGCTCTTCCATGTGTGTGCATACCAAAGATTACATTGTGAAGCGCAGAATTAAGGCTTAGTAGTATCTGAGAAGAGGCTTTTGGGGAATGGACTCTGGCCTGTGTTTACGGAGCTTTAGAGAAAGAGCGTAGGCTGGAGTTTTCGACTGTGGGGAGCTGCTGGATGCAACATATAGCAGGATATCAAGCTGGAGGACACAGTCCTTTTCTAAATTTGTCATATTGTGAAAGATAAGCAAGTGTCTGATAGCAGTGTATTGCTGCACTAATGTTTTTTTTCTCTCTGTTTTAATAGATAACAGGACTAGGGGTGAAGGGAGTCCCACCGTATCCATTTGCAGGCTAAATATGCACTCTTCAGAGTGGATTAGAGAGGACTGACATAAGCAAGACAAGTCACAAGGTCTGATTCTGGTGTTCAGCATCTTTTGCTTTGAAACTGTAACACAATTGTAACATCTCCTCAAGAGAGGATGAAGACCTACTGTAATGCATGGAATATTTTAAAACTGATTATTTTTCCCCTTTAAACTCTATTACTTTAAATATCTGATGCTGCTTTTACTGTTGTGCTAAAAAGATTCTCACCCTAATAAACTACTGAGTACTGTAACTTCCTTTTATGATTAAATAATGTTTTACTATATTTTCTTTAACTGGAATTTCTTTTATCTCATGATGTTCTCAACAACTGAAACACTAATTCCTGTTACTGTGCATCTGTAGCTTCCTTTTTACATTACATTTTTAAGGCCTCGGCCGTGGTTGTGCTTAAATTAACTCTGATCACCCGGAGCTGACCACCAGCTCTCCCCAAAGGTGCATTTTCTTAAACATAAATCCAACTTTTGGCATCGAGGACCATCATCTTTGTCCATCCTTTGAAGATCTTGCCTATTCAGAGGAGATCCGTGGCGACAGGAAAGCGTTAAGCATTCTTGGCCCTTGGTATTTAAAAGAAAACACCACCTGCACATGCCTCCTGCACAAACTCCCCCAGAGCAGCCGGAGAGGCAAGAGGGGCCCATGTGCCCAAATGGCCATTACTTCTAGGAAGGTGCAGAGAAGAGAAGTTTTACTGTAATTTCTTCACAGCACCTGTTGTAAACAGCAAGCTTGTTCACTGGGTTGCTTTTTTTGCTGGTAACTTCAGGGCCCGTATGGGCTGAAGCAATCATGGTGTAGCTCAGTTGGTTTTTAAACTGCACATTTTTGCTCTTGGTGTGGTACGTGTTCCCGTGTTTGTGCACCTTCACCTGCAGGTGGAATAGCTGTCTGTCCCTGTCCTCTTGGGTGAAGGGAACCCACTGCCTACAGAGAGAGCCTGCAGCAGGGCCTTTTCTCTGCAGGTAGCTCCAAAAATCAGTATGTCATGGTCTTGCAGTGCGTCTCTGCAAGCCTGTTGGAGTTAGTTTCTCTCTGAAGGATCTGCATGTGTCTCTTCTGCCCCTCCAAGTGTGCAGTGGACAACTCAGCTGCCTGAGCCAAGGGTTCAAAAGCGGCTTTGTGCAAGTCATTGTTTTTACTCTTTAAAGCATGTGGGGTTATGTCTCAGCAGCTGGAAAAACAGAAGGTTTTAAGCAGTCCCCCTTTGGGGCAGAAGGTGAACGTGAGGTGGTGAAGAAAGCTGGGTCTTGTTCTTTTGAGCATCCACCACTGTAAAATTTATGGCAAATTTAGGGCATTGATCTCATTGAAGTCATGAACCTGGTGATAACTGCTTCTCAGAAAACCTTGCTGTAGGGCTGCTGTGGTTCATTGCTAATGGACATTCAGAGGTGCAGGAGAAAATAAGTAGGGATAAAGACAAATAAGCTCCCTCTGTCAGTGCTACCATGTTGCAGAGGTTCCTCAACCGTGGGGTTTTGTACCTGTGCTTGCCCTCACCCCGCGGTGATGGCAGCACAACAGAGGGCACTTGGTGATCCTATGGTTTTTTTGTTGTTGCTGCACTAGAAAGGTAAGAGCAATAACTTGTACAGGCATGAAAGATGTGGTCAAAGATTAGTTTGTCACCGCCGGCCAAGAGACACCCAAGGGATGCAATGGAGGACGTGGCTGCTGGAGCCCCTCATCCTCCCTCCATGCAGTGCATGAGCAGCCCTGGGCAAACGCCTGAGGTCCTCGTGTCTCTGTGCTTGAGAGCGTGGGAGCAGGAGCAGGTAAAATAAGCCTCTGCAGACACTGTACAAATAAATGCCACCTCCCCCTTATGTAAGATTACCTGCTGGGCTTGGCTACGCTGGTTTCACGGGCATCACATGAGCAGGAAGAGCCAACTCTGCCAGGAGAGCTGTATTTTTAACGTTACTGTAATGCCCCGGGAGCGCACCTTGCCGCAGCCTCCAGTGCAGAGGCCGTAGCTGCTTCCCGCGTCCCAGCCCTGAGGAGCCCAAACAGGCACTGCTGGCGTATTTTGTCTCGAGTCCCATGACAGAGTGCTGGATCCAGCAAACTAGAGCTGAGCAGTTCCCTGTTCCCTCAATTAGGAAGGCTTCCTGACTTTTGTTTAATCCCTTACTTATTAATGGCGCTCACCTCTTTGATCAAAGACTTGCACTGATTTCAATTAGGGTTGAGCAAGAACCTAGTGACAGGAAAGGCTGTATCAGGAGGAGCCGCTGCTGTGCCCTGAAGGGTTTCTTCACCCTCGTGACCAAAATCTATAGTCATAGGTGAAGCGTATTTATTCACGACCAAGCTGGAGAAAACTCAAGTAATCCTTTGCTGGCAAAATAGCTCTGCCGAAATAAAAGCAGGCGGCACTGGCTGCCTGGGGAGTTCTGGTTCTTCCCATCTCAAGCACCAGGGAGGGACCAGGCCCTTCCTACAAAAGGGCGAAGCCACGGGAAGATAAGCCTTGGCTTCACTTTTGGGCAACGCTGTCGAGTGGGATATCGCTGGGGTGAGTAGCTACACCTGCGCCTGTCTGCGGTTTTTAATAACTGTGTCTTCATTAACTCTAACCGTGCCTTGCTGTCATCTCCAAGAGGGAGAGAGCTGCAGAGGATGACTCTGTCTTGGTGAAGAATGACTTTTGAGAGATCAGGACAATCAAATTATATGCAAAGTCAAGTTTTTAGGGTAATGAAAGCTAGGGTGGACCTTCAAGAAGAATAAATGACACAAGTGTAATTTGGGGAGTAGTAAACAAAAGAGGGAAGAAACGGATCTACTAAATGTTTGCAGTGCTATAGTAACAAACTCAGAGCTATTGTCTGAGCACATGCCTGTAGGTAACAGAAGACAAATACAATCATTTAAACACCACATGAATATATGTGGTGTGCCTCAATATGCTCTCCCAACTACACCGTGTTGATAAGAACTAGGGACTGTAAAAAGAAACGGTACGAGTTGCACGAGGGGCAACTTTATTGCAGACTTCCGCTCTGCAACCCAGCAGCGTTAGAAACAAACGAAGTGCATGGCAGGGACAGGCTCTTCACGTGGTGGAAATAATTAAAAGAGCAGCTGGCTGGCTGGCAACAAATATGCGCACCTGCTACTGCAGGGTTGCACCACACATGGACGGCATCCATGAAGCGTTTGAGATGCGTCTTCTCCTAGAGGAGGGACACATGGGGGAAAGGTAGACATGGGGGGTGTTGATGTGCCGAGGGTGGGAGGTGTGACTCTTCTCCTGGTAGTCTAGAAGTCAGTGGGATAGGAGCACGAAATGGTGCAAAATGCGATGGGGGCATCCCCAGAGCGTTTGCAGCCACTGGAGAAAATGAGAGAGATGTGCTCTGCTAGGGTTTTCACAGCTGCTGTCCTGCCTTGCGCCACTGCTGATCTGGCATCTGAGCTGCTTGACAGGAGGGTAGCATATGCTTTTTATTTTTTTTTTTCAGTTGCAGAGAGGCAAATGTTTCACCCGTCTCCATGACTTGATTTTTATTTTGCCACAGCTTATGGGAGGCAAGTCAGTCAAGTCATCAAAAGAAAAGAGCTGAATGGGAAATGCAGTTTTCTCCATGAAAACTCCTTTAGAAAAAATGCTTCGGGAAATATTTTTGCAGAAAAAAAAGATGACTTTGTGGGTTTTTTCTCTGCAGCTGAGAACTACTTGCTTTTCTTTTTAAATGAAAGCAGTTAAAACGATCATAAATCAGAATTTTCCTTTTGAATATGTCTTCCAGCTGAAAATGCTGTAAAAAAAGTATGTATATTGTTCTACACGAACCTCGCTTCAAAGTTATCTTTTGAGTCAAAAGAAAGAGAGCAGAGAGTAATGTGAAAAATATTGTGACAGCAGCAGAGACAAAAGGATTCATGCTGAAATTAGATGGAACCAGTGACTTGAGCTTGGGGGCAAAGGAAGGCTGAGAAGGATCCTCAGGGCACCCACAACCATTTTTTTTGTAATGCAGTGACCTTGGAAGGAGTTTGACTTGGAAATGTAACCATCTTTTTTGCTAGAAATGTTTGCATTTGTCTCTAGCTTAGGGCTGTAGTTTTTTAATCTCTGCATTTGGATGGTGGCTGTGATAGGATAATACTATGTCTCGGCTATTTGCTTATCTGGGAAAACTATTCATCCCGTGAATCACTGGAACATCAAATTGAAATGCTCATTGAAGTCCTGCACGGGTGAATAAATGCATTCATTGCTCTTGCATGCTGGTTTGGGGCAGTTCCTCCCACGTGGCTTCTGCCCTCGCTGAGCGTGGTGGGGTCAGCGAGCATCAGCGGCAACCTGCCTCCTGCCTTGCTGCAGCAGCGGGACCCCGAGAGGTCTCCTGTCACCAAAACACTGGTGGTGGCTCTGGCTTGCTGCCTGGCTTGGGCTCTGTCCCCACAGCAGGCCTTGACCCTGTTCCCACCTTGCCGGACTGGTCTCCAGTGGGGGGAACCTGCTGTCACCTCCCTTTGCTGAGCAGGGCTGGGTGTGAGAAGGCACTCAGCATCTTCCGCCTTCGCCTCCCACAGACGAAAAAATGACAAACGCAAAAGGAGGGGAAAAAAAAGTGTTAAAAGCCAAGCAAGATACTAACATCGCTGAGGCTGCCTGGCCTCACCCCTTCCCTGGCTGTGCTGTGGGCAGCAGGTTGCAGCTCTCCACCCAGGAAGGGATTGGACTTTGGATATTCGAGGTGAGGAGCCCTGTGAGGGGAGCAGGTGACTTCACACAGAAGAAGGTTGTGGCACAGCTGGGAATCATAGAATCATAAAATGTGTTAGGTCGGAAAGAACCATTAAAGGTCATCTAGTCCAACCCCCTTGCAGTGAGCAGGGACATCTTCAACCAGATCAGGGTGCTCAGAGCCCCATCCAACCTGACCTTGAATGTCTCCAGGGATGAGGCCTCCACCACCTCTCTGGGCAACCTGTGCCAGTATTTCACCACCCTCATTGTAAAGAACTTTTTTCTAACATCTAATCTAAATGGGAGCCAAGTCTTAATGATGCTAATATGCCTTAATCACAAGAGTATTTTTTCCTTATTGTTCAAAGTGACTGGTACTACAAAACCTTCCCCTGCATCTTTTATTAGGCTCCCCTTTTTATCA